ACCATGGCCGCGGACGAGAGCGAAAGCGTGCCCGTGGTCCCGTCCCGATGCGTTGGAGGAACAGAGGGGTTTAGTGGGTATGCCTCCGCTATGGAGGAGAATCCCACATAACTATAGCGTCCCCCCCGGGGCGCGGAGTATGCATAAAGCATTCCTATCAGAAAAAAAGAAAAAAAAAGGGGTGTTACTATCTACATAACAACTGAACAGATCTTGATGAAATTTGGCATAAATATAGAACATAGTCTGGAAGAACACATAGACTACTTATTATGTTTCTTTTTTAATTTCGCGCATACGGAGTCGAGTGTGACAATTAGTTTTTAAATTATTTTAAGTTAGCGTTTTAATCGACTGGCCGCCGACCCATCTGTCGGCCCAGGTACCGCTGGCGAGACGCCGTAGAGCTGAATCTGTGGGAGCTACAAGCGATGGACTGGCAGGAGAAGGCGCAAGTCAGGCGACTTTGGCAATCTCTTGTGTCGGAGGCCAAGACCCACTTTGGGTCGATGCGCCAGCGGAGTAAATAAGTAAGTTATTTAATTTATTGTAAAATATAGTCTTCACAAAACACATTTGAACTTCGTTTTAAGAAAATTTCGTAAATAAACCAAGTTTTGATTTGGTTTACCTTGGCAATAAACTTTGCTGGTAAATTGAAGTTTTAATAACAAAAGATCGATCGTTGCTTAGAACTTAAAGTTGATTTTGATTATTGACCCAGTTTAAAAGTAAATAAATTAAGTAAAATTCGTTAAATAAATGTTCAATACAAAACTGAACATTATATTGTACCCGAGATCAATCTATTAACATGAAGTGAATGTTATGTTAATAACAAACTGTCCTGGAGGCCTAATATAGTCCTCTTTCCCTTCCCACCTTTCTTATAAGGAAATGATGGGAAGTGGAAGTGGACTTTCCGGATATTTTCTTTCTGTGCATCCTCTCCTTTGTCGATTAAAGGTAGACAACGCATGCAATTGCGTATGTCTATGGGCAACGGTTACTTCGCTATTTCAGCGATTTCATGTGTCCGCTCGCGCGCATGTCACCTTATGATATAAAAATACTCAATAAGTAGCCTTTGTGTTTTTGCAGACTTATGTTCTATATGTATGCCAAACTAGGTTTAACACAAATTAACAGAGGAGCGACGGCTATATTGGTATTCAGGAATCAGTCGTCTTGACCCCGATCGTTAGCTTAATATAAATGATATCATGGTCCGTGTACGCTGGGGGCGGTGCGCGTTTCCATTGTTTAAGTCACGTCAAAACGTTAATTAAAAATTGTTCGTATTATTTGATTTTCAAAGTGATAGATGAATTTTCTTAGAATCTTTAAGGGTATTACCTATTAATACTGTACCTGTGGCAGCAGCAGTATCGTGACGAATGTACTTCACTTTTTTTTCAAAGCGAATTAGGCCTATTACGTAATTAACTTTGATTATTTAATAAAGATGGTACATTTAAAATCTATTTATTTAGTACAAAATCGCCTCACAATCAAATGAAAGAATATGTTAATCAAATATTAACTTTACTATAACAATTTAAAGCTAAATACATTCAAGTTAATTAATATTTCAACGTCTTATCAAAAGCTACCTTTGACGTGTAACAATGGAAACAAACTCCGCAATAGCTCAAAGACCAAACTCCCTAATTAGAGACGATGTTACCCTCAGGCAAGTAATAAGACATCGTAACAACACAACCTACGTTACAATGTTGCCTCACAGAAACATAATACTGAAGCTAGACGTACCATTGTTAGATTAAGTCTGGTTTATGACATAAAATGGTGTTATAGTTAGACTTACTGACCTCTTTAAATAAAGGACAAGTGGTTAATTAAAAATGACAGCATTTGTTTCCATCTTTAATGACTCCGTCTGCGCGAGAAAAAAAACTTAATTAGTAGCCTACACGTTCTTCCAGACTATGTCCTACATCTGTGCTAAATTTCGTCGAGATCCATGCAGTCGTTCTGGAGATTACTTCCAACAAACATCCATCTTAACTTCCACATCTAAATATATAAAAGAAAGTCGTGTTAGTTACACTATTTATAACTCAAGAACGGCTTTACCGATATGGTTGACAATTGGTGAGGAGATAGGTTAGAGCCAGGAGACGGACATAGGATACTATAATATTTATTCTTTTTTTTCGAATTTGCCATGAAGAGCTGCTTTTTATTTCACTTACTAATATTATAAGTGCGAATGTTTAGATGGATGTGATGTGGATGGATAGACGGGTGGGCTACACTAATTAAGTTTTTTTATATATCTACGCGGATAAATGTACATATGTAAATCGGAAATCGAAAAACATATTGGTACATGGCGGGATTCAAACTCAGGACTTGCAAATTGCAAGTCAAGTGCTTGACCCCTGAGCCACCGACGCACAACAAACTAATAGCAAAAGAATAATAGAAAAACCCAAAACAATAAAAGTTCATTTAACTGTATCATTGGTGGTAAATAAAACCCTTTCCTTTTTTCCAATTTAGATCTTAAATGGCGGCATAAAGTCAAAATGGGTGTAGTAATTATTGAGTTCATTCGTTACAAAGACAAATTTATACACATTCATTCATCAGAATAAAATGAAAATGTTACATATTTTTAAAAACATATTTAAGTTACAATTTAACAATTTTATTTACGCTTCATGACTTTGTTTCCAGTACGACTAATATTCACGCTACATTAAGCTACGAATACACGTAGCACTGCTACGAGCACCCGCTGGCTACGAACAGCTACGTCGTAGCAACGGAAATTGAAATAATAAAAATTGCCGCTGTATTATTTACCTTCATAACGTTATATTTTTAATAACCACATATTTATTGCCTGACTTATAGTAATGTTGTTTTTATATTATATTTGAATGTATATATATATATGTCCATTCTTTCATATTCACCGAATAATCAAACATATAAGAAAAAGAATGTAAATCGATCCTACAAATAGGAACAAAATGTGAAATTTTTGATTCAACCATAATATGTTCAACATGAATATGAATTGTAAATTCTAGTACTGTTAATTTGTAGGCTAGCTGTCGCCGGCGATTCAGTCCGCGCGGAATAAAAAAAATCTTTATTAGTCTATAGCTTCTTTCAGACTATGTTCTACATCTATGCCAAATTTCAAAGATGCAGCCGTTCTAGAGATACCTTCTAACAAACATCTAAACATTCGCATTTATAATATTAATTAAAGACACCTATGAGAAACAATAACAGGTTTTAGAATAAATTAATAATATAATTCATATCCAGTATTTCAAATTGTTACATAATTTATAGTTTATTACTTATTATTCAAAAGACATCGCGACTAATTCAATTTCATAAATTCAATAAAGGGAAAAGCCCATTTGCGTATTCAGCATCGATCGATAATACAATTTCGTTTAATATTAGCGCCATCTATGATCCAACAACGACAACTCTATTAACTAGAACGCTTCGTAGATGACATTCTAAGCTAGTGCAACAATATGACAACAGATGGCACTGTTATAATTTTCATAATATTACTACTTTTTGCACATAATTTCTATTCAGATAGAATCAAATTTAACTAAAATAAATAACAAAGATTATATAATAGTCGTATTATATTAAAATATACGACATAAAAATGAATTATCCAATCACACCATAATATAGCATACTACAAATAAAATTAAAGAAAATGTATATTATTCCGTCAAACAAACATTCCTTTCTTAATGTTAATTTTGAACTGACGTTTATAGAATAAAGTATGTTGTGTTCCTTCAGGCATTACGCTTCAGGGATGAGTGCTTTTCATTATGAAAGGGTCGTAAAGGTCCTCAGGGAATGGCAGTTAGAGAACTCCAAATAATAATTATTTCATAGACAAAGTAAATTAAGGGCTTTAAACTCTACATTCATACGAATAGTCACAGTGAAATTAGGTTAAGTTAACATAAACTCCTCGGCTTACAATCTTACTAGTAAGGACATTCTTTTCATATTTATCTTTTAAATCAGAAGCAACTACTTGAATATGACAAAATAACGAAGCTACTGCTGCCCATAGACATTCCGCAATTGCAGATGCTTTATGTACTTTTAATCGACGGAGGAGGAGACGCACAAAACATAATATTTACCCATCACACGCCTCATCTCTTCTATCAAATCTACCTCATCTTTCCATTCATTCACAAGAAAAAGGTTGCAAGAAAACGAGGACCAAATATAGTCTGGCTGGCACACTAATCAGACTGTACGCATAATTACTTCACTTTTCCCCTATCTTCTATCTGATGGGATTATATGATGATGGTCAGAATATAACGACCATAGATACTAAAGTAAATATTTAAACACAATTACTATATCAGTCATCATCATCAACCTGCCCTTACCCCAACAGAGAGTCGGCATATGTACTCCTCCATACATCTCTATCAGCCGTCATATCTGAATCCACCTCCTTCTTACACATATCCTCTTTCACACAATACATATATTGGTCTTCCTGTATCTTTGTAGCCATTCATCTCATTGCTTTTCTCCGCATAATATGTCCATATTTCCGTAACAAATACTATTTCAGTTGAAAATTTTAAATCTGTTAAGAATTTCTTACATAATTACAAACACTATTGTTACAAGACCAATAGTTACGAGGGCGATTTATGTATAACCTATTGTTCTATTCAATACGCTTAAAAGTCGTATTGCATTCATTTCAACAGTTGCTTACTTACTTTTCTAAAATCTAGTAATATTTTAAGAGTACTCGCTTAAAAATTTACAATTATAGTAAAATATCAGTGTTAAATATAATAGAAAAGGTGAAACGAAACGTGAAAGAAATCAATAACCATTTAAAACAAATGAAAATCTGAGTGCTTTGAAACAAAAGAAAAACAATTGAACATCGTGAAAACAATCGAAGATAAAGATAGTTCAAAAAAAACAATTGACAAACGATCATGTTTTTACAAATAATACTAGTATCGTTAATAATCAAAAATGTACACAATCATACACCGAAGAATAACTCAGATGTGTACATAACATATCAAGAACATAGCGAATTAGGAAATGATAAAATATTAGAAGCTAAGAAAGATGATATAGACAAAAATAAAATTAAACCAAAAACACAAACAGATGCTGTAACGGAAAACTATGAGCCGACATTTGAAGATATAGTTTTCGTACCAAATGAAAAACCAATTATCAGAAATGAAGATTTAATCAACAATGAAGAAATTAAAATTGATGATTTGATGAATAGGAAATATCTTAATAATGTAATGGAGGAAAGAAAAGTTGTTAAAACAGGTAAATATTTCTTTTCATTCATCCTCAATGGATCGACCAACTGGATGGAAGAGAGACTATGTGATAGTGAATGCTGGCACACTGCGGGTTGACTTCATAAATATCTTTGAATTTCTTCATAAATATGAATGTTTGTTTGAAGGTATCTCCAGAACAGCTGAACGGATCTTTATGATATTTGGCATAAATATAGAACATAGTTTGGAAGAACACATAGGCTAATCATGTTTTTCCCGCGTGGACAGAGTCGCGGGCGAGCGCTATTAATAATAAATAATTTACAGATTCACCAAACGAACATGTACTCTTCATAACGGGGAAGAATAAGGAAGATGAAGAATTTAATACAGACAAAGTAACAAAAAGGAATCAAAGGACAAAATCAATATTCGATGATATATCAAAAGTTATTAAAAGGAAAGTGAATTGTTCTTCATTGGATTGTAATAATAATCAAGACCCAGTCTGCGGTGGTAAAGCTGAAAGGAACAAAATAAAATACAGGCTGTTTTTAAATGAATGCTTCTTTGATAAAGTTAATTGCGCCTTCAAGTACAATTTGAATAGTAAGTAATCAATATCTGTCCTAGATTCAACGTTGGCTGAGACCAAAACCATATCGTCATTCCTGTATGACAAAACAGAGATCATCATCAGCTCACTAAACGTCCCCACCGAGGGGCACGGAGCCTACCCTAAGTTAAGGGTGATTAGGCCATAGTCCATCACACTGGCCAAGTGAGGGTTGGTTGACTTCACACATATCTTTGAATTTCTTCTCAGATATGCACAGGTTGCACGATGTTTTCCTTCACCGTAAGAACGTCGGATTAATGTACATATGTAAATCGGAAATGGAAAAACACATTGGCACATGGCGGGATTCGAACCCAGGACCTGCAGATTGCAAGTCAAGTGCGTGACCCCTGAGCCACCGACGATCCGACAAAACAGAGATAACAATATTAAATGAAGATTTTGGTGTCAAAACCCCACAGCATTGATCAGCGTCGGTGGCTCAAGGGTTAAGCACTTGACTTGTAATCTGTAGGTCCTGGATTTGAATCCCGAATTGTATAATACCAATGTGTTTTTACATTTACGACGTTCCTACGATGAAGGAGGTTTGAAGTCAAGCACTGGGTCAGTGTGGTCGACTATGATCTAGTCACTAACTTAGGGTAGACTCCGAGCCTTTCATTGGAGAGATATAATGAGCTGATGATGATATGAAATAAGATTTTAAATTGAGATTAGCTGATTTATTGTGTTTCATTTCTTTTTAGGGTTCTGTACGTCATAGGGAAAAAACGGAACCCATATAGGATCACTGTTGACCGTCAGTTTTTCTGTCAAGACCCTTTTTTTAGGTAACAGTTAAATTTCATCTGTTTCAGAATATAGAAAAGTAAATTTAACAAAATGCGAGCAAGTAGCTGCATTGAACTTTGAGAAACCAACTTACAAACTTAAAACTGCACCCATCAAGCCCGCTAATGTCAATAATACAAGAAGAACCTTCTCATCTAGAAGGTAAAGTTCTTTTACACTAGCGACTGAAATCAATAAACGATACCCAACCATTTTAATTTATACAGCATTTTATTCAACCGTAATTCAACCGATCTGAAGATTGAAATAACTTGACCTATTGTATAGGTTACATATTGCCTTTTAAAATGTTATTGGTTATTCCCTCCGCCCCAAAACGCCAGATGCTGGACAGTAACGGCGTTCGGGTAGGGCCTGGTGAGGCGAACCCCCATACGCTGGGCATAAGGGGGTGCCACAGGCGCCAGAGTCGGAGTCCAAAGATGAGGTTTCCTAGCGGGTTAACCGCAAGTGGCCCTAGGATACCCTATCTTTGAAAGGTTTCCCCAAAAGCGACTGCTGGATTTCTTCAACTTGTAAAATTTAAACTTTATTTGCAATCTTTGCGAGATCTTAACTGGAGAAAAAGAGGTCGTTTAGACAACTTTTGAGTCTATTGTTTTAAGGAGATGCTTTATCGTGTGCTTTTTAATCTGTAATTTTAGATAATATTATAATAGTTAGAATTATTTTTGAACAAATAGCGCGCTTTTACTAAGTGAAATCGATTAGTGAGGAGACTTAAGCTTTGATATTTTAATAAGGCTTTTGTTGCAACGATACACCGGCACTGTGCCGGATTTTCTTCCTAACAGTAACATTCGTATTTTCCAGGTCTCTCATGATAGACATTGATGGCAAGTTCTGTTCGCATTCCTGTCCTGTAAGTTGCACAGATGACTACGACCCGCGTTGTGCTATTACCTCTAATGGACAGATGAGGGTCTTTGCTAATCATTGCAAGTTGGATTTTAACTCTTGCTTGTATAGGATTGGTAAGTTACTCCTGCTTTATGTCTTTTGTTGTACCACTGACTTTAGAGTGTATGTGAATTTGGGTCAATATTATGGTGACCTTTGGCAACAAAGGTAGAGGAAGACCAAAGAAAGTATGTGTAGTGTGAAAGAGGATATGAAGGGGGTGGATTCAGATATTACGGCTGATAGAGATGTATGGAGGAGTACATACTGTGCCGACCCTCCAGGAATAAGGGCAGGTTGATGATTATTATTGTTATATCATGCAGCCGAAACTAATGAACTAATTTTGACCAGTGAGTTATCATTCTATTTGTATTCTTCTCCTGGGCGTTAGAAGGACAGTAAGTCGAGTGTTTGGTTTATTAGTTAACAATAAATGTTACTAATTATAAACTAGCTGTCGCCCGCGACTTCATCCTCGTGGATATATAAAAACTTAATGAGTGTAGCCTATGTGTTCTTTCAGACTTTGTTCTGTACGTATGCCAAATTTAATCGAGAACCGTTCAGCCGTTCTAGAGATATCTTCAAACACCCATCCATCCATCCACATCATATCCATCTAAACATTCGCATTTATAATATTAGTAAGTTAAATAAAAAGCAACTCTTCAAAGCAAAAATTCGAAAAAAAATGAATATATGTATATAGATGGATGTTTGTTTGAAGATATCTCCAGATTGGCTGAACGGATCACGATGAAATTTGTCGAAGAGTGTTTTTTTCAATCTGCGCGACGTATTTGCGGTCGACAGCTATAAAGTATAAGGTGGCAACTTAGCAAACGGCCTGTTATCGCTAAAATACTGAAGTAATCGCCGGCAATAAATACTTCTTACTAATATTATAAATGCGAATGTTTGTATGGATGTTTGTTAGAAAGTATCTAGAGAAAAGGTCAACAGATCTTGATGAAATTTTATTTAAATATGAAACACTGTCTGGTAGAACACATAGACTAATTACTAAGTTTTTTTTTATTCTGTTCAGATGAAGTTGCAGGCAAAAGCTATTTCTAGCTACCTAAGCGAGATCTGTACAAGGGGGGGGGGCTTACCGTGCGGTCGATATGACCCCCTCGCAATTGTTTCTTTTCCGTTACCGGTGTTTGGTTTAGGTTAGCACGTACGGACGGACAAAAATGAATTGTCCCTGTACAAACACTGGAACAATCGAAATACTATACAAAGGGTTCTTTAAGCCTTTGTTGTATGTCACCGTGAGATTGGGGATTTAATCAGTTTTTAATGTTCCAAAAATGTTTTAATTATTTGGAACTTGATATTAACAACTTGACGTATGGTAATAATCCGTTCAGCTGTTCTGGATAACAAACATCCATCCATCCATACATTTACACTAACATAAAATAGCTGTCGTCCGCTACTCCTTATGCACACAATTAAAAAACTTTATTAGTATTCTGAAGATACCTTCTAACATACATCCATCCATCTAAACATTCGGAATTTTAATATTTATAACAGATGGATGAAAGGATAGATGTTTGTTTGAACGTATCTCCGGAACGACTGCATGGATCTTGATGAAATTTGGCAAAAATGTAGAACATAGTCTAATAGCAAATATAGGCTACTTATTAAGTTTGTTTTTAATACCGCACCGACGGAGTCGCGGACGACAGCTAGTTATTAATATTTCTTTTGCAGTATGGCACGCTAGACCTCTATCTCATTGCGTGGGAGGAAGGAAGGCGGATATGCAGCAAAACAGAAGATTCATATCCTGGATGCAGCAAGCGGGAATCGTAGATAAAAGGGGGCGACTATCCATACATTGATTGTTATAACTAGTACCAAATGAAAGCTGTTTTGTAAACATAATTAAGATATTAGCTCCGCGAACATACGTGAACGTGAATGTGATTGCAGCAACACTTCCACGTTCGCGATAAGTTTGACGAACGAATGTGAACATCATGCGAACGTGTGTCGCGAATTCATGCCACTAATGTAGAGCTACCATATTGAATTTATTGTTTTATACTTTTGTAATTAAATTGGAATTTAAATTGCGTTTTTTTTTTTTACTTCAAAACTAAAAGATACTCGGATTTCAGTATTTCGCATGTACAACTATTCAAGTTAGAAGGGTTTCAATTTCAACAATGTCAGGACGCCCGTATGTACTTTTCCCTTCTCAGATTTTATCTTTTGAATGTAAGTAACATAAAGAAAAATGTCTCTTTAAAATTAGCTACAGTCGAAATATAAGATTAGCTGATTTAAAAAGAACATATTTAGTAGCCTATGTGTTCTTCCAGACTATGTTCTACATCTATGCAAAATACCAGCAAGATCCATGGAACCGTTCTGGAGATACCTTCTAACAAACATCCATCTAAAAATTCGCATTTATAACATACTAGCGTTCACTCGCGACTCTGTCCGCACAGAATAAAAAAAAATAGAATTTCATAGAGATTCGATCAGCTGTTCTGAAGATATCTTCTAAAAAACATACATCAAAACATTCGCACTTATACTAGGTGTCGCTCGTGACTCCGTCCGCACAGAATAAAAAAAAATAACCTATGTGTTCTTCCAGACTATGTTCTATAAGTATGCCAAATTTCATCGAAATTCGATCAGCTCTTCTGGAGATATCTTCTTACAAATATACAATCATCTACATTCCTATTTATAATATATTAGCATTTACCCGCGACTCCGTCCGTAAAGAAGACCTAATTAGTAGCCTATGTGTTCTTCCACACTATGTTCTATAAGTATGCCAAATTTCATCGAAATTCGATCAGCTCTTCTGGAGATATCTTCTAAAAAAACATACATCTAAACATTCGCATTTATAATATTAGTAAGAAGTAAGATTCGGGCATTGTTAACGGACATTTTAAAGAGACTATCTCCAGTATTTCTGTTCGTCCCCTTCGTTTTTACGACAGTTACGTTTAAAATTAATTCCTTTATAAATATTCATAACAAAGTATTTCATTGTTCTGTTATCTTTGAATATAATTAAGAAGAAAAGTCGCATCTTCAGATACCTTTTTAGACTTTTTAAAGCTGTAAAAGGTTTTTTTTATATCATAAGGTGGCAAACGAGCGAGCGACCACCTGAAATCGCTGAAATAGCGAAGTGACCGTTGCCCATAGACGTAATTGCATATGCGTTGCCTACCTTTAATCGACAGAGGAGAGGATGCACAGAAAGAAAACATTTCCATGCATCCTCTCATCCGGAAAGTCCACTTCCACTTCCCATCCTTATAAGAATAAGTGTAGAAAGGGAAAGATGACTAAATCAGGCCTCCGGGACGCACACTCATCAGACGAAACGCGGAATAGCTTCCACTTGACGCCTGTCTTCTGTGTGGTCGTGGTATTTCACCGGGCGAGCCGGAACAATTCGTGCGAAGATGTTAAAGCGGGCTCTACCACTGTTAAAATCTTAGATATGTTTCGCAAAAGCGCCAATAGCCTAATAGTTTCCGATCATGTAGTCTAGAGTTCGAATCCCGACATTCGACTATTGTCCATAACATAAGCCTAGAGCTTAATCGGAATTTACATTAACAAAAACCTTTTTTTCTTTTAAAAAGGCTCTCGACAGATAGAAGGACGGACAACAAAGTGATCCTTTAAGGGTTCCGTTTTTTCCTATGAGGCACGGAACCCTAAAAATATTAAATAGCCTATGTGTTCTTCCAGACTATGTTTGTATTAATGCTAAATATCATTAAGAGACCTGAAGCCGTTCTGGTGATAAAAAAAGCATACACGTTTGCGTCCCGGACACCTAATTTAGTCCTCTTTCCCTTCCCACCATTTTTCTTATAAGGAAACGGTGGGAAGTGGAAGTGGACTTTCCGGATGCGATGCATGGGAATGGAACACATTTTCTGTGCATCCTCTCCTCCGTCGATTAAAGGTAGGCAACGAATATGCAATTGCGTATGTCTATGGGCAACGGTCACTTCGCTATTTCAGCGATTTCAGGTGGCCGCTCGCTCGTTTGCCACCTTATGATATAAAAAAATAAGTTATAAAAAGGTTAAAAACCTAAGAAAGTCTTCCTAAAGCTTTGCTAATAATAAATTAAATCTCGCATTCATATTGTACTGTATAAAGGTATATAGGAGATTAGAGGTGGAGGGTGGTTAGGGGGTGGTTTGAATAATGACATCTGAGAGGGTGTTTGTACAGCCTAATTGTGAGTTTCCGTCACTTGACACTACATAGGTAGCTACTCTGTGCTTGTCCTTCATTAAGTAATAGGGGTGTATAAATATTATCTCTGTTTGTAATTAGTCTGTGTAATTTATAAGTTTGGTTTGACTTTTTGCATAAAATTATATTTTTCATCTATATTTAATATCGTAAAATATTTTAGTTTTTGTCTGCATGTCTGTTCGCAAAACCATTTCTTCCGTATAATCTCGGGAACGTGTGGACAGATTTTGACGACACTTTGACTGGAAGGTAGATGACGTATGCGGACATGTTATAGACTACTTATAGAGTTCCGTACTTGAAAAGGAAAAAAAGCGGAACCCTTATATCAATTTGTTGTTCGTCCGTCTGTCTGTCAAGACCCTTTTTCTCACAACCGCAAGCAGATACAATTTGGAAATTATTTTATTTATTATTGCACTGATGAAGTCGCAGTCAACCGCTAGTAAATTATAAAAATTATGATTAACTAGCGCTCCGTTCCGTCCGCGTGGATATATAAATAAACTTAATTAGTGTAGCCTACTTCTTCGTGTTCTTTCAGACTATGTTCCATACGTATGTCAAATTTAATCGAGATCCGTTCAGCCGTTTTTGAGACATCTTCAAACACCCATCCATCCATCAACATCACATCCATCTAAACATTCGCATTTATAATATTAGTAAGTTAAATAAAAAGAAACTCTTCAAGGCATAAATTAGAAAATAAATAATATCCTATGTCCGTCTCCTGGCTCTAAGCTACCTCCTCACCAATTTTCAGTCATATCGGTAAAGCCGTTCTTGAATTATAAATAGTGTAACTAACACGATTTTCTTTTATATATATATATATATATATATATATTTGATAAGTGCAAATAAATTTTACTATTATTTAAGAGAAGTACTATTTAATATCAAAAAATAAATTTTATAGTATGAAAAAAATTTGAGAACCCAGGATAATACGAAATAACAATCCACAAGACCACATCTGATGCACGTTTCAATTAGCCTTAGCAAATACCAGCTTTGTGGTTACATTGATTATTTAAAATAGGATAGAAAAATTATTTTAACAAAGGAAATATTATGATGAAATTTCAGGTTATCAATATCTTTGATAAACTATGAGAAAAGATTTGACTAAAACGCGTTACTTTTCTTCCTGACTTTGTTCTGAATTGCCTTTCAGCAAGATCCATGCAGTCGTTCTGTAGATACCTTCTAACAAACATACATCTAAACATTCGCATTTATAATATTAGTATAATGCGAAAGTTTAAATAGATGTATCGATGTTTGTTAGAATCTCCAGAACAGTTGCATGGATCTCGCTGAAATTTGTCATAGATGTAGAACAAAGTCTGGAAGAACACATAAGCTAATAACTAGCTGTCGCCAGCGACTGCGTCCGCGCGGAATAAAAAAAAAACTATTGGTCGCATCGTAATGCTATATAGCCTAAGTCTACCTTTATAAATGGGCTATCCAACAAACTAAAAATTTTTCAAATCGGACCAGTACTTCCTGAGATTAGCACGTTTAAACAAACAAACTCTTCCGCTTTATAATATTAGTATATATTAAGTTTTTTTTTTATAATTCCGCGCGGATAGATTCGCGAGCAATACCTAGATGTACTATAATTTGACTTTATGTTGAAATACGTTGAATAAAAATGCGAAAAGTGAATAAATTACATCATAAATATTCAGTAGACTAAAGTCTGGTTATCCCGTTTTGGAAAAAAAGATCGTAAAAACGAATGAATACATTATGTTAGGAGCTTGTTAAGTGAACAAACCGTATTTTCATCTTACGATATGGTTACCTGCAATATAATATATATATATATATATATAATTTGTACTCTGATAATTCAATAACCTTTATTACTATTATAATATTTATTTTTAATTTAAACTCAAATCATGAAGTAATGATTCTGGGTGATTTCAACATCCCGGAGATGGAGTGGTCCTCCTGCCCTACTGCTAGTTACTTGAATCCTGAAAATCTTGCCGTCGCAATATCCAGCAAATCAAAGTATAACGCCGATTCCCTTCTTGAAACCATGTCTCTAGGTAGTCTAAAACAATATAATAGTGTCAGAAATCAGAATGATAGGCTTTTAGATCTCGTTCTGTCCAGTTCTCTAAATGTTTTCGTTAGCAACGCTTTCCCGCTTTTAAATCTTGATAGACATCACCCCGCACTTGAGATAGAATTTAAAGTTCTCAAAAGTAAGCAACGGCACCATAACAATAGCCCACGATACAATTATAATAAGTGCGATTATCCACAAATTAAAGCTGATCTTGGCAATACTGATTGGCACTCGGTGTTAACGCAGGAAGACGATGTAGAAACGAACGTTAACTCATTTTACACAATACTTAACGACATCATCATGAAACACACTCCTTTAGTCAAAAACAGAAAGAATTCTTATCCTATATGGTTCAGTACTTCATTGATCAAATGCCTGACGGAGAAAAATAAATTCCACAAACGATTGAAAAAGTACGGAAACCCTAGAGATTACGACACGTTCGCAATGTTACGGTCGCGAAGCAAGGCATTAATTAAATCTTGCCGC